CCTCCTTTCCAATCCGCTAAGTCCTTAAGTTGACCTTAGGACCAACCTCCGACCCTCCGCTCTTAAATTAAGGAACCGAACTCGTACAGGGGCGCAGCACATAAGCTGAAGCCACAGTTCCTTACCCCTCTGACACCTCTCAGGAATCCCCGCAAACCCCGCCCCCTCCGCAACTCCGGAACATCCGGGAATTCCGGGAAAGAACCGGACTTGACAGACTTGCGTTCCCAATATCTCCTTTCAATAGTCTGGTTCTCCTAGGGAGCATGGTTTTCCAATGCGGGAAAGCTCGTCTTTGATGCAATCTGGAAGTCCATTGTAGAAGTGATGTCGGAGGGCTCCCTCACCATAACCCCAGACCTGGGAGGCTAGGCAATTGAATTCTACCATGTATTTGTTGATATGCTGGGAGTCTTTCATGGATAGGTGGTCGAGTTGGTGTTCCGCATCACCGACAGGGTCATGGGGGCTGAAGTTGGTCTGGAGCTTGAGGACAAATTCCCAATAATTGTCCGTCCAGTCCAGACAAAAGTCTGGATCGTCCATCTGAAGGAGGTCAGGTTCGAACCACTTGAGGGCCATATGTCACATCCCGAAACTCCCCTAACCCATCTGGCCCAATTCCGAACCCCTATGATCAAATCCCGAATCCCAGGCCTTGGACTTTACCTTAGACGATTTCTCTTTCATTGGACATGTCCTGGACTTTCGTATTCCTATCTCAGTTATCTCTTGACATATGTCACTTTCCTTTGACACTTCTTAACATTTACAATTCCTATTGATAATTCCCTTCCCCCTTGCTTTGCAATTATTGTGCCATTGCCTTCAGTCATTATTCTACCATTCTGATGCCATTCTGATTCATTCCTTCCTTTCTTCCGGAAACCCGAAACTCTGATTCGTCTGACATACTTTAACACCTTTATATCTTCCGGACTCTTCAGTATATAAACCCACGTGTACTCTCTGATATTTCCTTAGTTTGAATATCAACTAAATCCCGTTCTTTCCTGATCCCCTTCACTCTGAACCTCCTCAGTCCTTAAGTTGATCTTGGGATCGATTTCCAACCCTCTGCTCCGAAATCAAGGAACAGAACTTGTACAGGGGCGCAGCACATAAGCTGAAGCCAAAGTTCCTTACCACTCCGACCCCCCTCAGGAATTCCCGCCAACCCCGCTTCTTCCACACTCCAGACAATCCGGGAATTCGGGGAACAAACCCGGACTTAACACACATAAGCTGAAGCCAAAGTTCCTTACCACTCCGACCCCCCTCAGGAATTCCCGCCAAACCCCGCTTTCTCCGCA